TCTCCCATCATATATGGAAGAACTGGCATGGGGATGTAAAAAGAGAGAATATAAATATTACTGGATTTTAAATGGCTGCTCTCTTTAGGATTTACTTTTAAGAGGGTTTATTTTGTATTTTGTGTTTCTAAATTTCAATTTCTTTATTAAAGAAGGCTTTTATGTTTACCAAGACCCCCATTAAGTCATCTTCCTTAGCTATCAGATCTTCTAATATCTTCTTTTTTACCTGCTCCAGCCTATGTTACATAACCTCCATCAGATTTTTAAACGTTAGCTTCTGCTATACCATTGTAATAGTTTATATTTGGCTTCCACTTTATTACATACACAGAAGAAAATTGAATATTTGCATCTGTTTGGGACTGTCAGCTGGTAAATCAATTTACAGATGGGACATATTTCATGAAGGAGAATATTAAGGCAAATATATGTGCCTCTCTCCCTGTTATAAATTAAGGATCCGTCAAACATCCCGTGTGGATTTCTATAGAGATAAACATTTTATCAGCGCTGTTTTAAGAAAAATGAGGCCACACTCGAGAACATCTGCCTTACCGCATATGAATTAAAATTAAGAAGTGGGTGTTTCTTGCCACAAGTGAATCTTGACAGTTGAGTAAGTTTCAGCTAACAGCTACTTTTTTAGCAAGGTCATCCGTCTGCTCTCTGCTGAGCTCATGATATAAAAAATAGTTTAATTGGAGTAAAAATAATAGCGACAGACATATGTCTATGTTTACAAGCTGACAAGTATATGTATTTTGTCTGTGCTTTATGACTGCCTGCTCTGCGTAATGAAACACTTCAGTTAATTACCTTACTGCTTTGCCATTAACGCAAATGTGCCTACAATTTCTCAGGCATTAAGCTGTAAATAATTATTTGAGATGAACGGCAAAGCATTTAAAATATTGTAAAAATGGATGTTTGAGTCATTTACTAACTAAAATGCTTAAATGCAGCTGCTTGCACGTGCACGTCTAGCTGCACACACAAGTGTATCATTTAAACCTCTGACCTTTAAAAGCCATTGCTTATTATACCAACAGTTTATTCCTTCATCATCCTACATGAGGCAGAACAAATGAGTAAGCAAATCATCCTTAAATAAAATAACACCTAAAAGTTGGCCTGTCCTAGCCTTTAGAATGCCGCCTATTATTTTTATCCATGCAAATGTAGTAACTGCAGATTGTGTTTTTTCCCTTAATCATCATTGTAATATTAAATACTTTCGTTTAAAAACACATTAGGCTGAAATATGAGTTATTTTAAAGAACAACATATGTTCCATTAGGCTTATTTTACTTATTAAAGCAAAGTGACCTGAAGTCAGCATTTTGCATCAGCAGTTACGGGCCGAGAAGGATAGTATTCTTGTGGGTTTCGTTCTGGCATGTACGTGTCCTTCGTAATCACTATTTCATTTCCTCTTGTCAGCAATCTCAGAATTGTATCAGATGTTCACAGGGCAAGGCACATCTGAAATCTGTCTGTTAGATACTTTAGTTGGGTGAATTGTACAGTTTTAAAATTAGGTCAGTCATGAATAAAAAAAAATACGTAGACCATTAAAAGATAGAATCAAATGTAGCTTTTGCTGCAATTTTCAGCTTCATTTTGGAGCCATGCCCTGCAGTACTTCTTTTCTGTCACAGGATGTCATCAGTCATTTTTGCGTGAATGACAGCCAACATCTTTCAACCTACTTCTTCTGAACCCAGTCTGTTATGATGTCAGCACCTGTGGTAGTGAGCCCTTGTAGATAGTCAACTTGGGGTTCCCCAGGGCGCGGAGTCTAAGCCCCAGCCTGCTTCTTCACCAGAGCCCCTGATGGTGGGGATGGACTTGCAGCAAGCTAAACCAGGTCACAGCCCCCGGGTATGAGGATGAGGAGACCACTCTCAGGAGCAGAGTACCATGGGGGAGGAGACAGACGAAAATCTGATAGACTAGCCGAGGTCAGGACAGGTGGAAAACAAGCACAGTCAGGAAACGAAGCCGGGGTTGGTACACGAGTAGTCAATGCAGGATACAGGAGATAGCAACATACAGGAGCTCAAACAACTAAGTTGCTCAGGCAAAGTGGTCTAGATTGAGTTTGTCTTATATAGGCAGACAAACAAGGAGTCAGGCCAGGAAGTGATAGAAGGGAAGGAAATAAAACCCAAAGAACAGCAGATGATGCCCATAGGTGAGCACAGACAAACCACACATGTGAAAGGGATCAGGAACAGCACTGCAGCAAGGAGGTAATAACACAAACAAGAAACTGCAGGCTAATTTGTGGCATATGAACTCACCAACAGGCTGTGATTGGACAGTAAAGGAAGATCAGCACAATGATGAGTCAGCCCAGGTTCACACTGATGCGGAATTCGCAGCAGGTTCTGCACGATTTCCACACTGCATCATAATCAGACCCCATTCATATGAACCGCTACGGGTGTGTATTTTAAGTTAACGACACCCCGAAATCAGTTCACAAAACACAGTGCAATGTGCAGAATCAGATTGCATAGGTGTGAACACCCATGCAATCTGAATCTGGCGCAGACAAAAAAAGGGTCCTGCACTCAAATCGCACCGCACAGGACTTGCATGTGATTTGCACAGAAATGCTGTGCGGTTTCTGTGGGAATCACATGGAATATGCCGTACCGCATATGTGTGTGAACCCAGGCTCAGTCTCTTCATTACTCCTCTCATTAGCATGGTCCTTGTCAGCACATAAACTAACTGGCTCCTTGTACTGCTTCTTCTTCTTCCATTTTGAACTTTGAGGTGCAGGGACTTTAAGAGGCTGATACCAAGTCAAATTTGGGTACCTATGCTGCTTGTATTTGGAAAAACAAATCATGTGATGATGTATTAAAGCATAGAGAAAATTGTTAATTTGTGTTTTTTATATCCAGCTAGAAATACAACAAATCCAGCACACTCCATACAGTAATGAAGGCCTGATGATTAAAGTGGTTGCAAATCTCAGACATGTAATATAAACAAAGCATATCCCTCTATAGCAGTGATGGCGAACCTTTTTGAGCCCGAGTGCCCAAACTGCAACCCAAAACCAACTTATTTCTTTCAAAGTGCCAACACTGCAATGAAACCTGAATATCGAGCTTTTGGTTTAGAAAAAACAACTCGTACAGTAGTGCAAACTAATTAACAGTACAGGGATGACCAGAGACTGCGGACACAGTACAGGGATGACCAGAGACTGCGGACACAGTACAGGGATGACCAGAGACTGCGGACACAGTACAGGGATGACCAGAACTGCGGACAGTACAGGGATGACCAGAGACTGCGGACACAGTACAGGGATGACCAGAGACTGCGGACACAGTACAGGGATGACCAGAGACTGCGGACACAGTACAGGGATGACCAGAGACTGCGGACACAGTACAGGGATGACCAGAGACTGCGGACACAGTACAGGGATGACCAGAGACTGCGGACACAGTACAGGGATGACCAGAGACTGCGGACACAGTACAGGGATGACCAGAGACTGCGGACACAGTACAGGAGATGACCAGAGACTGCGGACACAGTACAGGGATGACCAGAGACTGCGGACACAGTACAGGGATGACCAGAGACTGCGGACACAGTACAGGGATGACCAGAGACTGCGGACACAGTACAGGGATGACCAGAGACTGCGGACACAGTACAGGGATGACCAGAGACTGCGGACACAGTACAGGAGATGACCAGAGACTGCGGACATAGTACAGGAGATGACCAGAGACTGCGGACACAGTACAGGGATGACCAGAGACTGCGGACACAGTACAGGGATGACCAGAGACTGCGGACACAGTACAGGGATGACCAGAGACTGCGGACACAGTACAGGGATGACCAGAGACTGCGGACACAGTACAGGGATGACCAGAGACTGCGGACACAGTACAGGAGATGACCAGAGACTGGGGACACAGTACAGGAGATGACCAGAGACTGCGGACACAGCACAGGAGATGACCAGAGACTGCGGACACAGCACAGGAGATGACCAGAGACTGGGGACACAGCACAGGAGATGACCAGAGACTGGGGACACAGCACAGGAGATGACCAGAGACTGGGGACACAGCACAGGGATGACCAGAGACTGGGGACACAGCACAGGAGATGACCAGAGACTGGGGACACAGCACAGGAGATGACCAGAGACTGGGGACACAGCACAGGGATGACCAGAGACTGGGGACACAGCACAGGGATGACCAGAGACTGGGGACACAGCACAGGGATGACCAGAGACTGGGGACACAGCACAGGGATGACCAGAGACTGGGGACACAGCACAGGGATGACCAGAGACTGGGGACACAGCACAGGGATGACCAGAGACTGGGGACACAGCACAGGGATGACCAGAGACTGGGGACACAGCACAGGGATGACCAGAGACTGGGGACACAGCACAGGGATGACCAGAGACTGGGGACACAGCACAGGGATGACCAGAGACTGGGGACACAGCACAGGGATGACCAGAGACTGGGGACACAGCACAGGGATGACCAGAGACTGGGGACACAGTACAGGGATGACCAGAGACTGCGGACACAGTACAGGGATGACCAGAACTGCGGACAGTACAGGGATGACCAGAGACTGCGGACACAGTACAGGGATGACCAGAGACTGCGGACACAGTACAGGGATGACCAGAGACTGCGGACACAGTACAGGGATGACCAGAGACTGCGGACACAGTACAGGGATGACCAGAGACTGCGGACACAGTACAGGGATGACCAGAGACTGCGGACACAGTACAGGGATGACCAGAGACTGCGGACACAGTACAGGGATGACCAGAGACTGCGGACACAGTACAGGAGATGACCAGAGACTGCGGACACAGTACAGGGATGACCAGAGACTGCGGACACAGTACAGGGATGACCAGAGACTGCGGACACAGTACAGGGATGACCAGAGACTGCGGACACAGTACAGGGATGACCAGAGACTGCGGACACAGTACAGGAGATGACCAGAGACTGCGGACATAGTACAGGAGATGACCAGAGACTGCGGACACAGTACAGGGATGACCAGAGACTGCGGACACAGTACAGGGATGACCAGAGACTGCGGACACAGTACAGGGATGACCAGAGACTGCGGACACAGTACAGGGATGACCAGAGACTGCGGACACAGTACAGGGATGACCAGAGACTGCGGACACAGTACAGGAGATGACCAGAGACTGGGGACACAGTACAGGAGATGACCAGAGACTGCGGACACAGCACAGGAGATGACCAGAGACTGCGGACACAGCACAGGAGATGACCAGAGACTGGGGACACAGCACAGGAGATGACCAGAGACTGGGGACACAGCACAGGAGATGACCAGAGACTGGGGACACAGCACAGGGATGACCAGAGACTGGGGACACAGCACAGGAGATGACCAGAGACTGGGGACACAGCACAGGAGATGACCAGAGACTGGGGACACAGCACAGGGATGACCAGAGACTGGGGACACAGCACAGGGATGACCAGAGACTGGGGACACAGCACAGGGATGACCAGAGACTGGGGACACAGCACAGGGATGACCAGAGACTGGGGACACAGCACAGGGATGACCAGAGACTGGGGACACAGCACAGGGATGACCAGAGACTGGGGACACAGCACAGGGATGACCAGAGACTGGGGACACAGCACAGGGATGACCAGAGACTGGGGACACAGCACAGGGATGACCAGAGACTGGGGACACAGCACAGGGATGACCAGAGACTGGGGACACAGCACAGGGATGACCAGAGACTGCGGACAGCACAGGGATGACTGCTGACCTTTGGGGAGGGAGGGGGATCGGGTACCTGAATTTGACAGGTACCCGCTCTTACTTCCGCAGTTTTTTTTTTTTTTTTATCTTACCTGTTCCTCGATCCAGCCGCGCGGTGTCTTCCCGGCTTCTGTAGTGTGGGCGCTCGTCGGACAGCCGGATGCCCAGTGCGCATGCGCGAGAAGCGCTGCGCTTTGTGATTGGTCCGGCGGCTTCTGGGATCTGTCATGTGTCCCAGGTATCGCCTTACCATTCACAAGGAGCACTGCTTCTTGTGCATGCGCACTTGGGACCCGGCTGTCACGCACACTACAGCCGGGAAGACAGCGCGCCGCTGGATTCTCCTGGCGTGCCCACAGATAAGGCTCGGCGTGCCGGCTGTGGCACGCGTGCCACGGGTTCGCCACCACTGCTCTATAGTGTGTACTTGCCTCAAGCTAGAGCAGGGGTCTCCAAACTTTTCAAACAAAGGGCCGGTTTACTGTCCTTCAAAACTTTGGGAGGGCCGGATTGTGACCAGTGGGGGTAGAGAATGTCCCGGGCCCAGCATCAGTGAAAATATACATGGGGTACTATAAAATAAATATGGTGCAGCGCTATAAACGTACCACAATGATATATAAAAAGCACAAATAAACTATATAGAAGCAAATGTAGCACGTGCTCATAATATTAAACATGCAACCAAGTAGGTGATAAAAATCCTATACCAGCTTATATATGCATGATGAATGATATTAAAAAGTCCTATGAGCATATAAATGACTTGATTGGTGAACCTTGCTGGTGATCAAAAAGTGAAGAATATCAATCCTCTCAGGATAGTTCAGTGAACAATAGTGCTCAACTTGAATGGAGAAACATGCATGTGATATAAACGCATGAGCAATCGGATGATAGTGTCCACACACTCCTCCTGTGGCTGAATTGCCCCCTCACCTTAGATCTGCGACCCAATGGGCCCTTATGCCTTTAAGACCACAATAGGATCTTTCTCCAAGGATGGATGCCTCAGCCCCGTTCTTATGGACTCTCCAATGGACCTCTCACTGGTGGATAGGTATACAGGACCCTCTGAGAACTGCTTGTCACTGGGGAAGTCACTCATCATAACCATAACGAGGGGTCTTAGGCAACAGGAGGCAACCTACCCCTGGATTGGGGTCTTGGGCAACAAGCATGCGTTCGTCACGAGGGTCCTGCCTCAGCTGGGCTCCCTGCATGACTGCATAGCGGACCGGGGCTTCAGGCAACAGGCGGGCAACCTACCCCTGGTCTGGGGTCTCGGACAACAGGCGGGCAACCTACCCCTGGACTGGGGTCTCGGGCAACAGGCAGCAACCTACCCCTGGACTGGGGTCTCGGGCAACAGGCGGCAACCTACCCCTGGACTGGGGTCTCGGGCAACAGGCAGGAGTTCGTCACAAGGGTCCCGTCTCAGCAGGGCTCCCTCCGTGACTGCACAGCGGACCGGGGCTTCAGGCAACAGGCAGGCAACGTACCCCTGGACAGGGGTCTCGGACAACAGGTGGCAATCTACCCCTGGGCTAGGGTCTCAGGTAACAGGCGGGCAACCTACGCCTGGGCAGGGATCTCGAGCAACAGGTGGGCAACCTACCCCTGGGCAGGGGTCTCAGGCAACAGGCAGGCAACCTACCCCTGGACAGGGGTCTCAGGCAACAGGCGGGCAACTTACCCCTGGACAGGGGTCTCGGGCATTAGGCGGCAACCTACCCCTGAACTGGTGTCTCGGGCAACAGGCAGGCGTTCGTCACTAGGGTCCCGTCTCAGCAGGGCTCCCTCCGTGACTGCACAGCGGACCGGGGCTTCAGGCAACAGGCGGGCAACCTACCCCTGGTCTGGGGTCTCGGGCAACAGGCAGGCAACCTACCCCTGGACTGGGGTCTCGGGCAACAGGTGGAAACCTACCCCTGGACTGGGGTCTTGAGCAACAGGTGGCAACCTACCCCTGGACAGGGGTCTCGGGCAACAGGCGGCAACCTACCCCTGGACTGGGGTTTCAGGCAACAGGCAGGCATTCATCACGAGGGCACCGTCTCAGCAGGGCTCTCTCTCCGTGACTGCACAGTGGACCGGGGCTTCAGGCAAAAGGTGGGCAACCTACCCCTGGACAGGGGTCTCGGGCAACAGGCGGCAATCTACCCCTGGGCTGGGGTCTCGGGCAACAGGTTGGCAACCTACCCCTGGGCAGGGGTCTCGGCAACCTACCCCTGGACAGGGGTCTCGGGCAACAGGTGGGCAACTTACTCCTGGACAGGGGTCTCGGGCAACTGGCAGGCAACTCACCCCTCAGCTGGAGGGTCTCAGGTAGGGTCAGGCGGTCTCCCCTTAGCTTGGGGGGGTCTCAGGTATGGGGTCTGACCTTTGAGGAGGGGGCTCATGCAGAGCTGCGGAGACTCCCACCCTGGGACATTCAGTGGAGGGCAGCGGGGACTCCCAACCCTGGAGTATTGCAGAGGGCTATAGTCCTGACCTTTGGGGGTCTGCAGAGTGTGCAGTGGGGATGGCTGCGGAGGCTAGGTCCCCCCCACCCGAGCCTCCCAGCGGCTTTCAGAGAGATAGATGATTTCAGCAGCATGCACAGGAACAAAGAGGAGGGCTGCTTCCTGTGCCAGTCTTTTTAAAAGCCGTGCAGGACGTTGCTGGGTTGCCTCGGCAACGGCCGGCCCAGCACCATTCATGGAAGCTACAAGGACAGAGGAATGTGCAAGGGGGAGGGAGGGGTGGAGGGATATGGCCGAGGAACAGCAGGCAAAGGGGGGTGGGGAAGGCACGGGCACTCCGTGACAACGGGGTACTATTCCTCCCATTAATAACATTAATACCAATCATTGGTATTAAGGGGAGGAATGATGCCCCATCATTGGTATCAGTGTAAGAAATAGTGTCCCATTGTTGGTGAGAGTGAGAGGAATAGTACTTCATATCATTGGGGAGGAATAGTGCCCCAAGGGCCAGATAAAGGCTAGCAAAGGGCCACATTCAGCCCTTCTGACAAGTTTTCCTGACATCAAGAAACAAATGGTGACAGGGGAGTTCACAGCTTGTGATTGAAAGCCTCAGCTTTGTTCCTGTGTGCTGTGTGAAGGGGTGTGTCCCTTCCCTCCAATCAGCTCTCAGAGCTCTCCTCACTGAGCTCCTTGCCCCCCGATTTTCAGAGCTGAGAGATCCTGTGTAAAGTTTGTACTTTAAGTGGATGTAGAGGACAGATAGCTTTAGATAAACAGGTACAACATATGTAGGAGGATTTGTTTCATCTGTGTGTCACCTGAGACCAGTCACTTTACTGAGTACATGTAAGGGTTTACAACCACCTTTAAAGCTTAAGGCCACTAAGGACCTTCTCCCTAGGCCGCGGTGCCAGTCACTGCTACCTAAGAAAGAGGCTCTTAGTGGCCTCAAGCTACTCTCTGTTGGTGCCCATAAAGTGCCCTATCTGTTTATCAGAACAGGGTGTGCTGGTGATATCTTAGACTGGACATTCATCTGTCCTGAAGTTCAGCTTTAATTATCAGACCCTCAAATGGTCTACATTGTCATTTAATTTACTAATTTATAAATAGTACTAGCATATTTATCAAAACTTTAGAGAACACTATATTATTCACTATAAAGAGTGAATACTTGTGAGCTATTATGAATGAGGTATTCAGTGAACTATTAATTATTATCTACTTGTATGGTGTGCTAGGTTTGCTGGCACTTACACAAACCCACTTAATTGTGTTCCTATTGTTCAATTGTATAAATAAATTTATAGTGCCGCGCTCCTATTTACAAAATCCTTAACTATAAATAATCTCACACTAATAAATACACTAATAAATGCTTAAGTTGATACATAAATAATATTATATCAAATTAATTACTGTGACTTGTAAATAAATTAGAATATATTATAAATTAATCAAAATCATAATGTCAGGAATGGACTGGCCAGCAATAGTGGGACTCACCTGCCTTATGAGCTGCAGTACCAGGGCTGGCCAGCGGGTGCTCCCAGCAATCAGAGACTCAACCTTGCAGCCAGTCAAACACCTGGAACTAATTATACTGGTGTATTTAAGGGATGGTCAGACCTGCAGACTCTGCCTTGGTGTGTGTTTTTCCTGGGCCCTGTATCTTGTAAACCTGCATTCCTGTTCCTGTTCCTGTTCCTGTCTTGTTGCTGACCCTGCTTGATTCTGACCTCTGCTGACTTCTCCTGTTCTGATCCCTGGCTTGTGACCCCGACCATTCTCCGCTTGCTCCCCCTGTACCTACCTGCCCGATTGATATTGACCCGGCCTGCCTGACGACGCTTACATTGTATGTACTGTTATCTGTGGGTGGTTGGTTTGGTTTGTTTGCACTGTGTTATGTTTTAGTATTGCACTGCATTTATGTTTGTATTGTTAGTGTCAATAAATTATATTGTTTATAACATATCTGAAGTCTGCGTTTCCCTGCGTCAGTCACATACCTCTGGTCACACCCGGGAGCCCTGACACATAATCTGTGGTAATACATATCATGTGTGATCAATCAATCAATATTGTGCAAATTCATTAATGGATGTACAAAAATCAATCAATAAAGTGCATAAATAAAGTCTTTTATAAATATGTGCAAATGTGCAGGTGAATTCCTTATTCCCTCTCTCCAGGTGCCGTGTGATCTCAATATGCGCTCACCTTAATATTTGCCTAAATATATTTAGGCAAATAAACTTTTAATCCTTCCAGGATTGATGGGATAGTGCTCATATGCAAGATGTTCCAGGGAGAATATAGATCTATTGGAATCCTCCTGTGCTCTCCTCTTTCTCCATGCGCAGCTGCTCATGCATGAGTATTAACAAGCTCTATGAGTATCTCCCATTTCCCCTCCTGGGGACACCTCTTCCTCGTATCCTCCTTTCACCAGTATGGGGAGTATAGATCAAATGAAAAAAAGAAGAAAGACCATGGTGCCTTATCCTTGTATAAAAAAGTGATTTATTGCTGCCAGGTGCGGTGATACACAGCAGTATATGGCACTATTGTAGTACAGGTCAGCAGTGGATGTATATTACTCTGCCTCTCTGTCTGCCTCTGCTTCTGCTGGAATCGCCGAACCTCTCTGATGCAACGTCGTGACGTCAGAGCCCCTCCCCTCCCCATTTATAGTTAAGGATTTTGTAAATAAGAGCGCGGCACTATAAATTTATTTATACAATTGAACTATATT